TTTTGGCTGTGATGAGAAAGAAAAAAGATGAGCTGAAGGGAAAGGTGAGGCCACATCAGAGGGCGGCACACTGAGTGCTGATGTGAGAACTCCGTTCCTCCACTGATTCTAGCATTGGGCAGGAAGTAGTCTAGATGAGCCATGACAGCAGGACGTGTGGTTCCAGAAAGCAAGGAAGTATAAGAGCAAGTACACCGTGCCAGGTGCATGTCACCAACTGAATGAGCTCCCGCTAGCCAAAGCTGGAACAGTGTAATCAAACAGTGTTGGATGATAACCCAGAGTATAAAACCAAAACCCATGAGTTCATACTGATTCAAGTAGATGATTGAATAAATAAATAAGTGGCTGAGAATAGACAACTCTCCTGGGCAGACTACCGAGTGATTACATAGATACTCCACTCTCAGACTCTCCTTTGCTGTAGGCTGCACTGGTGGGTACTTCCTTTTAGAGCAGCGGTTCTCAACCTGTGAGTCACAACCCCTTTGGGGGTTGAATGACCCTTTCACAGAAGTCGCCCGATTCATAACAGTAGCAAAATTACAGTTATGAAGTAGTAACGAAAATAATTTTATGGTTGGGGGGTCACCACAGCATGAGGAACTACCATATATACTTGAGTATAAGCTGAGTTTTTCATCTCATTTTTATGCAGCTTTTGTAGTAAAATTAGGTTCCTCGGCAGATACTCAAGTATATACGGTATACTAGAAAGGTTGAGAACCACTGCTCTAAAGGAAGAGACCTAGTTCAGTCTGCATAGTGCAGTGCACTGAGCCTGTAGTTGTGTGGAAGCAGCTAGTGCAGCATAAGCCTTCTTCCTTGTGACGAGAGCCCTCATTTCCATGTTCAGTCTTTTCTGGAATGAAGATCCCAGGCCCATGGAGGTGATTCCAGCTATCATGACCCTATAGAACAGAGTTGAACTCATCCTCTGGTTTCTGAGGCTAAAGCTTTATGGGGTCAGCCTTGTCTTTCACCCTCAGAGCTGCTGGGGGGTTTCAACTACCAACTTTTCTATGTATAGCCCCAAATGCTTATCCCACAGCATCACTTGGGCCCCTTAGAGAATGGTGGGCCCCTTCTAAGTCCACAGTGTTTCAAACCATGGGGGGAGGGAGACAGTGGTGAGTATACAATATGAAAATAATAGTAATTTATATTTTATCAAAGGATCACAGAGCCCGGGAGGGGAGAAAAAAAGAGGATCTGATACCAAGGGCTCAAAAAAAAAAAATTGTTAGAAAGCAATGATGGCAGCCTATGTACAAATAAGCTTGATACCACTGGTCTGTGGATTGTTATAAGGGCTGTAAGAGCCCCCAATCAAATGGTTTTGTATGGTTCATAAATTCCTATAAAAGGAACGTTCCAGTAGTAGTAGAAGAGAGAGATCGCTGCTGGAAGTTGGAAGACCTATTAGCCATTGTTGGTTCTGTTGTGGATGGACAAAGCGACCTTGGGTTAGTCGCTGGACCTATCCAGATCTGCTTCCTCATCTACAAAACGAGAGGGTTGAACTGGAAATATTTCTATGGCAACTTAGAGTTCTAAAAATACTGTGCTTCTAAATTAAGATGTTGAGAGAGGCTGTAGCAGTACAAATAATGGAATCTTAGTTCCTACTTCCTTGGTACCTGGTCCTGTAGTACTAGATGCTAAGTCGAAATCACTCTGAAGCCCATTCTGGGGGTTATTCACATAGATGTATGTTTACTCCTCCTGTGTGTGGGAGGGAAATTCCCTGTAGACCCCCTCAGTTTTAAAGCTGGAGGGACCTGCTCTTCAAACCGCTGTTTTGAAATTTAGGAATCTAGGCCCCCTAGAGATTGTGATTTGTTCAAACCACAAAAGCAGTCAGAGACAGACACCAGGTCTTTCGACCCATGTTCTAGAGCATTCTGTACCACAACATGCTGCTTCAGGAGCACGTTCAGTCTTCACAGGGCCACCAGGAGAGCAAAATGATCCTGAGGGCAGTTAACTCGGGTGGAGTCTCCAACCTAGGGCACATAACTGAGGGCTTGAGGCAGGGCTGAGGAGACCATCATCCCTTGAACCGTCCCTCCTTAGGAAGTCTGAGAAAAGGAACTAGCCACCTCATTTTCCTTCTCTCTGCTGCATAACCTGCCTTTCCCCCCTGGTAATTACATAGCCAAAGATTATTTGTTTACAGAAGCCACGTGAATCAGCCAGCCCCTGAAGGGTTAACGCTCCCAAATTATGGGCTAGATTAACAATAAACAGGATGTCCTCCAGAAATTAAATTTAAACCACTGTGACTCAGGCTGGCCCATCCTCTCAACCAGATCGTTGTCTGGAGTTATTATCGGTAGTTAATTATACCTTTGGGTTTAGAAACAGTGTTGGTCAGTTTGAGCCAAATCAAACCAAGGGGGGGGGGGTGCGGTGGGCGTGAGGAGAAGGGTGGAAGCGGGGCCTGGACGTCTGGGTCAGTTGCAGCAATAGGTGCAAGAGCTTTGAATGGAGGAGACTTGACTCATCCCATAGAGCTGCAAGGAAAGTAGCGAGAGTGGCTGGTTTAGTCTTGTATTCCCTTGGGGCTTTCCCGCCAGTCCTCTGGTCCCTGAGCTAATCCCAGGAATTCTCTACTTTTTAAACTGCTGTCCCTGGCTGGGGGGCAGCTGCCTAGCTTCTCAAAGAGCTCTGGTTCCACTGTGCTGGAAGTGCTTGAACCCACCAGTTGCTTCCAGGGAGAAAGATGAGTCAGTCTGCTTCCCTACAGAGGTACAGCCTTGGAACCCAATGGAACAGGTTGATGCGGTCTTATTTTTAGGGTCACTCTGAGTCAGAATTGACTCCATGACAATGAGTTTGGAGTTTCAGTTTCTTGGAGTGCACTCGACTTGTTTTCTTTTCTTCTTATTTTTTTAAATCATTTTATTAGGGGCTCATACAGCTGTTATCACACTCCATGCATAAACATCTATTGTGTCCAGCACATTTGTACATATGTGGCCATCGTCATTTTCAAAACATTTTCTTTCTACTTGAGCCCGTGGTATCAGCTCCTCATTTTTTTTAAATCATTTTATTGGGGGCTCGTACAATTCTTTTCACAATCCATACATACAGCTATTGTGTCAAGCCAGCTCCCCATTTTTTTCCCTCCCTCCCTCATGAATCCTTGATAATTTTTTTTTTCATGTCTTACACTGACAGATGTCTTCCTTCACCCATTTTCTGTTGTACGTTTCCCTGGGAGGAGGTTATATGTAGTTAATTGTGATTGGTTCCCCCTTTCTTTTCTCCCACCTTCCCCTTCCCCTCCTGGTATGGTTACTGTCATTATTGGTCCTGAGGGATTTATCTGTCCTGGATTCCCTGTGTTTCCAGCTCTTATCTGTACCAGTGTACATGCTCTGGTCTAGCCAGATTTATAAGGTAGAATTGGGGTCACGATAATTGGGGGGAGGAAGTATTAAGAAAACTAGAGGAAAGTTGTATGTTCATTGGTGCTCTACTGCACCCTGTATGGCTCATCTCTTCCTTGTGACCCTTCTCTAAGGGGATGTCCAATTGTCTACAGATGGGCTTTGGTTCTCCACTCTGCACTCCCCCTCATTCATATTGATACGATTTTTTGTTCCGGGTCTTTGATGCCTGATACCTGATCCCATTGACACCTCATGGTCATAAGAATGGTGTACTTCTTCCATGTGGACTTGGTTGCTTCTAAGCTAGATGGCCACTTGTTTATCTTCAAGCCTTTAAGACCCCAGACACTATATATTTTGATAGTTGGGCACCATCAACTTTCTTCACCACATTTGCTTATGTACCCCTTTTGTCTTCAGCAATCATGTCAGGAAGGTGAGCATCACAGAATGCCAGGTTATTAGAACAAAGTGTTCTTGCGCTGAGGGAATACTTGAGTAGAGGCCCAATTTCCATCTGCTGCCTTAATACTTAAGATATACGTATATGTACATAGATCTTTTTGCCTGGACTTGTTTCCTAGCTTAGCTCCAGCCCTTTTATTTGCACAACTGTAGGGTCATAGGATTTCATGTGCCTTATTGGGCTGCTAACTGCACGGTTAGCAGTTTGAACCCAGTAGCTGCTCTGGGGGAGAAAGGTGAGGCTCTCTACGATCTTAAGGAAGTTTCTAAATCATCTATTTAACGCTTCAGTTTACAGAGTGAGGAATAAAATTGCAGTGCAGTTACTACCTATCCAAGGGCAGGCAGCTTATTGGAGATGAAGGTTGGGCTACTGCGCAGGTGTGGACTCCAAAACCTGTGATCCAGGCTGTCTCTTGGTCTGTTATACATGGGGTACCTATGACGGGAACCAACTCCACGGCCCCTACTGATGACACCTCCTAGCTGTCTGCCATTGGAAAGGGGGCTAGGCGGGAGAGTGCCTGCGAGCAAGTTCAATGCGCCCATGGCCTAAAATTCAGACTCTTTCTTGTCCGAAGTTTGCCACATAGTGTTTCGGCCTATTTTCACAGGGAAGTAATCCAGCCACGAATGCCCCTACAACGTGTCGTCTTCTGGCCACAGCTCATCCAATCCACATTCTAGTGAAGAACTGCATATAAATGACAAGTGTGTTTTGCGGTGTTTTTAAAAAGGAGATGTCAAAGATGCTGCCTAATAAAGTCAGCCTGTAATTTCCAAATTTGCAACTCCCCAAGACACCAGGTTTTTAGGGATTGTTATTCTTGTATTATCTTCCCTCTCCTACCTTCACTTTTTAAATGTGCTTAAGACAAACTCTAAGTAGGAAACCACTCTGAGGCAGAAGTATCCATTGGGCACTGTTGATGGGCAGCCCACACCCATAGACCCAAGCCTGATGCTGACGCCCCAGGCCTGCCGAGGCACTTGGCATAAGCATCGAGTATCTAGCCACTGCCACTCATATCTACCCCTCTGGAGGGAAAACAGCCTGGGTTTTAGCATTGCTCTTCAGCCACATTTCTTCTGTTCTACCATATTTTTAATAACCTCCCCCTCTCTCTCTTTTAGGATTCCTTTTAAGATTGGGCAGCCCAAGAAACAGATTATCCCTAAAACAGTGAGTAACCCCAATTTTGTCTTTCTGAGAATCACTTCCTTCTCCCTTGGCCTTGCCAGAGAACAAGAGCTTTAACACAACTTATCTATGGCTCGGAAGGTTTCAGGCTGCTGTCTACAAAGTTGGCAGTTCAAACCTACCCGCAGCTCCTCAGGAGAACGTTGAAGCCATCTATTCCCATGATGATTGACAATCTCAGAACCCTGTCTAGGGTGACTGAGTCAGAGTGGACTCACTGAGCAGTGAGTTCGTCTTTTGGTTTATTCTCAGTCATGTAGCTCCAGAACCTCACATGACCGAGGCTTGCACAGGCCTCCTCGTCATGGGATGCTTTCCATGCTCACATCAGCCTGGCCTCTCAGTGTCCCTTAGCACATAGACGATGGAGAATGACGGAGGTGTTGTGGAAGCCTCTGCTTCCAAACAGCCCGACTCGAGGTATGTAGCCTGCACTTTTCTTAAGAGGACTCAGAAGCATAGGCCCCTGCCAAAGACATGTCCCAGATCTGTACTTCTAGCTGCCTCAGCTGGGTGAAAGACCAGGAAACTTCTCCAGGTGGTCCAGGCCCTTTTCTTTCCCCTGCACGTGCATGCATTCTTGGACCTGGTCCAGGGGCATTCAGTGGGAGAGAATGATTGGATCATGCCCACCCCCTCCTTTTTGTTTCCTACTCTCTTTCATCAAAGGACATATTGCACTGGGCTAATCTGCTGCACAGGATTTCTATCAAGTGTTGAAGAGCAAGGATGTCACTTTGAGAACTAAGACGCACCTGACCCAAGCCCTGGCAACTTCATTTGCCTCCTACGCGTGTGAAAGGTGGACATTGAGTAAGGAAGACCAAAGAGGAGTTGATGCATTTGAATTATGGTGCTGGGCAAGGAGATGGCAGGTACCATGGACGGCACCACTGCCAACAAACCTGCCTGGGGACAGGTACCGTCAGTGTGCTCCTTGGAGGCAAGGATGGCAAGACTTTGTCTCCCGTGCTTTGGACAAGTTGTCAGGAGAGACCAGTCCCTGGAGAAGGACATCGTGCTTGGTAAAGTGTAAGGGAAGTGCCCACAACCGGATGGATTGACACGGTGGCTGCAACAGTGGACTGAAGCATAAGAACAACTGTGAGGGCCAGGCGGTGGTGCGTGCGCTCTGTTGTCCACAGGGTTGGTATGAGTCGGAACCCTCTCAGTGGCACCTACCAATATCCTGTTATAACGCCGTCCGTTTTCACCTGTATTTTATCTCCAGAATGGGAAAGGAGGAGAACCCTAAACTTTCAGAAAGTTTAGATCTGGAAGCTCTTAGAGCTCATCTCATCCAGCCTCCTGACTTTCTCTTCCTGGAGAAGAAATGAAGGCCCGTGGAACGGCAGTGACTTTTCAAAGGCTGAGCAAACCTCATACAGGCTGAGCTGATGGTAGAACTCCAGCTTGAGGCTGTCTGCAATACTCTTGCCGTTACTTTCTGCTGCCTCAGGCCACGAAGATCTCCCGAGAGATTGGAATTCTAGTTTTCAGTGCCCTGACCTACAAATCTGACTGCGTCTCTTGGGTGTGAGCATGGGGAACCCAAAATGCGGAGCTGCTGCTTCCCACCGCCTGGAGTCCCAGCTCTGTCAGCACGTGGGACTCTTGCTCTGCCACGTCGGCCCCCAAGAGTTTTTGTCTTAAGAACATTATCCCTCTTTGGCTCAGCTCTCAGAACTACAGGAAAGGGATTGCTTCAGTTTGGCGGGAAGTTCAGCACACATCTGACCAGTGGCTCTGTCTTTGGGAAATCCAAAGTTAGATCACTTACAAGGAAGTGGGCCACAGTTAAAAGAGCCCTCCCCTTTTTCATGCAAACACAGGTTGCTGGCAAACTCTGAGCTTTACCTCCCATGCAGAGGCTGACCATCTGTGTAGGCTCTCAGCTGAAACTCAAGGAATCCGGGCGTGCAAATGTTGGGCTCTAGCTGCTACAGGAAGTGGGAAGGTGTGGCTTGGAGTCTCTGGAGTTTAATCCTGGGCAGAGCTAAAAGGGAAGTGGTTTGGAGAAGGGTCTTTAATTCCCAGCACACACTTAAAAATTTTTGTTAAGTAAAGTAACTCTCAGTACCGTACCTTCATTGGGAATGGCCATTGTTATCCACAGAAACATCAGGCTAGACTGCAGTGTCCAGCAGCTCTGCCTTAGCTACTGGTCCGAAAGGCCTCTGGGTCCTTTCATCTGAGGAGTGGCAGTACTACCCCAAGAAGGACAGTTCACGCACCCGTGCAGACCCCGAGCTCCTGTGGCTGGCCCTCCATTGGCCCATCACCCTTGCATCTATCCCATGTGAGAGGGCACTCTAGGCCTCTAGCTCATGGCCTCGGCTCTCCCCGACACACTGAGTGTCGTGTAGAAGTTACAAGTCCAACATTGAAAGGCTCCCAACCTGGATTCCAATCCTGACTGCCATTTAGCTAAGAGACCTAAGGAAAGGGTCTTAATATCTCTGAGCCGTGGTTTTCTGATTTGTAGACTGAGAGCAATCATACTCTCACTGCTACCCTTATGCGGTCACTGCATTGATACTGTTTCATGGATGTAGTGAGTCTCATATGAGGCAGTGCATGTAACTATTAATAAACTACACTATAGGAAGCCCATTGGTTTCACTCTCCATAATCCACTCAGGGCTCAGCTGTCCCCAGCAGCTAGGCTCCCCAGTGCAGTGGAATTGTGGTTGGTCGCTCACAAGGCATCAGAGCCAAACTGCAACTTGAATTGGGGCGCTTTGCTTCCTTGGCATATGCTGCTAAGCTCCCCAAAGGCACTAAAGTATATGTAGCAAGATCCTGCCTCTCCAGAGTCTCCTCCACTCTAGAACTGCTGCCCGGCCCCTCAAACAGACTTGGACTGTGCAGTTGTCTCAGCATCGCTGGAAGCTGCCCCCTAAATGGTGGTGACGCACTGTTATTCTTGCCCAGGCACTTTTAGGGAGGGGAACAGCTTTGGGTCCCTGGGTTATTGGAACCCCTATCGTGGGAAGAAATGTTCATGTTATCTTCAGGGAGTTTCAGGAGGCTTTTGGCTCAAGGCACTTAACTGTCAGACACAAAGCAAGCATTGTTTCTTTGCCCTCACGGCTCTCCTGTGCCCAGGTTATGAACACAAATCCCATGACCGTCAGAGCTTTGCTGGAATGGCATGTTCTCAACAGGGGCTGACCATTGGAACTGAATGTAAGAAGAGAAGCTTCCCCCATCTCCCACTCCCCAAACTCCTGTGAAGTCGCTGAAGCAACCTGGTGTGGAGAAGAAGCTGGGCTTCCTTGCAGAACCTTGGTGGATGGAAGAGCTTTGTCTGAAGTTCTGCTCTGCACATCCCTCCGGAGCAAGGGGGTCTCAGTACAGCACCGCTGGATGCACAACGAGAGAGCGAGCTGAGGTGTCAAGGCAAAAGAGATGCTCCCGAAGTTGGACCTCTCCGCCTAAGAAAGGTTTTCCGTGTGGAGGGGCCTTCGCCTTACCCCATAAACCTCCTGCAATATACAGGAGAGGTGGCCACCCTCAGCCCAAGGCATCTCTTGTGAAGAGAGCTGTCCCAGAACGTGGAGGGCTCCCCAAGTCCCAGCTCTGATCTGGGTTCAGAACCCTAACCCTGTCGTCTTTTTTTCACTTCCCCATAAGTGTCACTTTGGCTGTGCACTCAGCCCATTCACTCATGTAGCAGACACTGAGCTCCTGCTCCGGGCCTGGCCCGGCCCGGCTGGGTGTAGAGCAGAGTGCATACTCCCTCCCACCCACCCTCCCCCTCTGGATCGCAGGGAGTAGCCCAGGGTAGCTGTTTGAGGCTTGATTCTCCCTGAGCTAACCTCGCCAGCCTGACCCAGCCCATCCTGGTCCCCTGACAGGCTGTGCACATGTGTTTACACTTGCATTGTTGACTGGGGGCCAATTGCCTTTTTGGCAAAGGAATCGAGCATTCAAAGATGTTCTGATCTTTCCATTTGGCTCTTTCCCTCCGAGTGGATAAATTTGGACTGAGACTATAGTGTGCCCCTTTCATTGTCTGAGGGGCTAGTGATTCTGGCATCGTCCTCTTTCACCTTTTCCCACTGCAGGAGAGAACTCTGAGGACCGGGGAGCTTTAGAAGCAGCCCAGCACTTGGTGCTTGGAGGCTTCAGAGGTGAAATATGTAAAAACTTCTCTGAAGCTGTCAGATGGCCTTAAAAACCAAATCAGACTCACTGCCATCGAGTCAATACCAACTCATCGTGACCCTGTAGGACAGAGTACACCTGCCCGTGTGGTTTTCTGGGACTGTATGTCAATCCTTTATGGCGGCAGAGTGGCTGGTGGGTTGGAACTGCCAGCCTTTGGGTGACCTGTAGTGAGTTTTAGCTACTGCACCCCCAGGGCTTCATCCAATGGCCTTCGGTGGCATAAAGGACTGAGCGCCCATCCCTGGCCTCTTTGTCAGCTTCTAGTGTAAGAGCCCGAGTTGTTTCTCAGCCAGCGTGATCCAGCCTACTTGGAAATTTGCAGTCGTCCTTCTCTGTGCAAGTCCAAGCAGTCCCCAGCCAGGGAGCCAGGTGTGCTCACATCCCACACACCCAAGCACACTTGGAGAGTTGCACAAGACAGGAGTGGGAGCCCAGGGCTGCAACCCCAGTGGTTCAGCAAGCACTCCACCCCACCCCCCACATCCCCAGAGAGCCCTTGCTGTGTGCACTTCAGCTGCCTTCACTTCAAGTCTCATCTTTTGGGGAAAATAAATGCTGTTAATATGTAAAGGTTCTGCTCAGCCTGGCCTGTTAAGTAAGAAATGAGATGTTTCCACCAAAGCAAGGTACGGTGGCAGTCACCCTGGCCTAGGAGGGTCACCCTGGCCATCAGGGTCCCTGTTCTTTGGTCTGCGTCTCCCCTCTGCCCAGCCTGGTGCAGCTGGTCCTTTCATCACCCCAGGGCGGAGGTGAGGCAAAGAAACTGGCCTTTAGGAAGCACCATCCCTGGGCCAAGCCCCTTGCTGCGTGCTCCTTCCAAACACCTCTGGTCTGTGGTGCCCCTTCCTGTCTTCAGTGGCTGATGTTGTGGAAACAGATTGTCAGGCCTTTCCCATGAGGCACCTCTGTGTGTAAATGAAATGAATGGCCAGACTTTCCATTAGCAGCTGTGCGCTTGTTAACCACTGCTGCCCCCACCCCGGGGCTCCATGCTGTGTATACACCACCTCCTTCATCCTCAATAGCCTGATCGTCCTTATACAGCCCCTACGATTTATGTGAGGTGTGACAGAGTAGAGAAGAAATCGATGCTCAGATATGCGAGGTCATTTTTTAAGACTCCATAGCTAGTATCGGAGCTGCTCTTATCTGTCTGTGCTCATTCCTTTAAAGCACATTCCTCCATGGGACTCTTCAGGAAAAACCTACAGGGAAGGCACCATAGGCCCTCTGACTTAGGCCTTTGGTTCCTATTGGACTGCAAATTCGCTGGGCGAGGTAACACTAAAGGTGTGTGCGAAGGAGGTTTTCATTTTTTCCTAAGAGCAGATTTTGACGACCCATTAGGAAGGTAGTAATGAGAACACTGGACTCCCTGCATGGAGGGAGAGAAGCAGGCCAGTCTAGTGCAAAGGGACTCTGGGCTCAGAGACTGAGTACCAATGATGACTTGACAGTTCTGTGTAAGGTCCGGGATGCTGGGATCGTAAACTCAGGAACAGACCACCTTTTCCAACCTCCAGATGTGACAGTGTACAGGATTGAAGGCAGTTAATTGAGTGTGTGCCTCTTCAAGAACTCTGTACCTGGATCAAAGTGAGAGCGGCTCTGGAAGGGCTCGGCAGAGGATTGCTGCTAGTAGGGAGGAGCAGTCGGGCAGCAGAAGGTGGGAATGACTGCACGGCGTACAGAACAGGATCGATTACTGAAGTGGACAGGTAGAATTTGTTGAATTGGTGTTTGTTCTGTCGTGTATATTTCAACAAAATACTTTCTGAAAGGGAAATAAAATGACTGAAAACGAGTTAGTCTCTCCACACAGTTTCATGTCAACATACCCTGACTACCAGCTCTAAGTAGATTGTGTACTTCTGTCATGGAAGCTTGCCCCCGTCTTCCACAGGGCTTGTCACAGTTTGCGGTCATACGCGTATTTGTTGTTCCTCCGCCAAACCAGAGTGCTTTTGTAGCCCCAGCCCCTCCGCCGAACCCATCACAGGTAACAAGTGTGCAGCACGGTTTGGAGGTGAACACACACTGTGTTTAACAAGGCCTGCACTGGGAGTCTGCATCTTGGCCTTGCTCTGCCACAACCAGCCATGTGCCCTCACGTCAGGCACCTCCCCACTGGGCATCCATCTCCTCATTCATAACATAAAGTAATTGCAGTCACGTTCTATGATTCTCTGGCTATGAATCCAAACGTGGCGTGGCGAGGCTGGTGGAGTTTGAGAGCCGTCTTTAATTGGGTAAATGTTGATGGAAGAGCGGTTGTGGTGAAGATCAGTATGGCTTTGAAGATTTGGGCAATACTTGCACTCCCTGACCTTCAACCTGTAGCCAGAGGGAGAGCCGAGATTGAGGTTTCTCGCTGGCAAGAGCTGGTGGGGTGGGTGAGGGGTCATGGCTTGTGTGATGCTGGGCTGCTGCAGCTTCCCTGTCCAGCCCAGGAACCTGCTCCGGAAACCTCAGGAGAGAGGATGAGGTGTGGAGCAGGCAGGGAGCGCCTGGGAAAGGCTGCAGCTTTACTGCCCAGCGCTCTCCTCATGGACTTGTTGCAGCTCCAGGGGTGCTGCAGCCCCATCTCACAGAGGGGAAGTTGCAGGCGCTGGAAGCACAAGCGGTTTTCTTCTCCTGCCAGTGTCAGATGGTCAGCCCACCGTTCCAGTATTGGCAGAACTGGGGCCAAGTGATAACCAAGAATTCATTTAAAGAGCTTTGCCTAGGTCCCTAATGATAGTAGGATTTGCTGCCTCCCAGCTTGCAGAACAGCTTCCTACTGACGCTGGCGGGCAGGTAGGCCTGGAGTAGGGAGAGAGGTTGGCTGCTCAGCTCTCACAGGGCAGTGCCAACCCCCAGCATCACTGACTGTGGTGCCTGAGCCAGCCCAGTCAACACCACCTCCCTGCATGAGTCTCCCTCCCAACCCTAGCTCCTTCGCTGGCGGCCATGGTGCGAGGGGAGGGAGAGGAGCTCTTCCCGGCCCCCTAGGCTGGAAGACCAGACCACACTCCGCTGCTACTTGCCTGGATGGCCCATCTGGGAGGGGAGTCGGTCTCCCTCAATCAATCACTTAATTAATTTGGGAACACAGGGATACTGTGTCATTAACGATCTGCCGATGCTTGTGTGAACTAGCTGTGTTGTTTTCTGCAGGCTTGGGGGCAGGGGTGTGGAGAGTTTCAATAAGCCGGGAGATTGTTTCCACTGGACTGTCATTTCGCCGATGATTGAGTTATCTCTTTTCTTGCAGGTGGAGAGAGACTTTGAAAGGGAATATGGAAAACTCCAGCAGTGAGTGTGAAGCCCCGGAAGGGCGAGGCGGGAGTCACCCTGGGCAAGAGACTGCTGCCGGGTTTCGCTCATGCACTGCCTCATCAGCGAGGGCAGCGCCCTTCCCCAGGCTGGGAGAATTCACCACGGCAGAGGGATCTCTGGGAATCGTTCACTCCTCTGAGGGACCTTACTTCCCACAGAGCTTGCAGTGGCATTTTAATCAGCGGGGAAATTCCTCCGGGAGAGTGGGCCCTTCTCCTCCCCGCAAGGCTGTTCCAGAATGTCAGTTTGGGCTTAACCCCATTAGATGGGAAGAACAGGCAGCAGATTGACGTGGTAGCCACCTGCGCCCTGTCTTACAGGCTGGAAGACCAGACCAAGAGACTTCAGAAGGACATGAAGAAGAGCACAGATGCTGACCTGGGTAGGTGGCTGCACCGCCCGTGGCTGGCCGGGAAGGAGGGGGTGGCAGAGGTGGCCAGCACTGAAGTGATGGCACTCAGGTGGTGACCGACAATGCCCCTGAGAATTGACCTGGGGTCACTCTTCAGATGTCAAAGCACCACTCACCACTTGGTACAAACGTCCCCAACCTGCCTGCTCTGTCATGATGGGGCGCTGAGGGCGAAGCGCTCCCAGATCTCTAGCAGGTCAACCCTCAGAGCTGGGCCACTCGCCCAGGCTGTCCAGAGAACACAGGCCCAGCGCTCCATCCTGGCAGAAAGGAAGACTCCTGGGAGCTGGGGGCTGACTGTCCAACGGTGACAGGATCTAGGGGTTCTGTGTTGTTTGATCAAGAGGACCGACTCAAGTGGGAGGTTGAAAATACCTCGGGATCCTTCTGTCATTACAAAAGACACGGAAAGGTCAGGAATCGGGGTCTGTGGTAAGTGGGGGTAACGTGCTAGGAAACAGCCAGTTGTCTGGGAGAGATTTCTTGGCTGCAAAGGTTTTGTTAGGACCAGGAGCCAAAAGACAAAGGGGGATCTGAAACAAAGACACCACCACGAGGCCTTCTGCCTGGGGCAGTGCCTCAGTGAGCAGGGCAGACCGAGAGAGGCTGGGTGTACCTCCATCAAGGCCTTTGCTTAACTTCCCCACTCCACAACCCCAAGAACTTGACCCAAAGTCCGTCAGTAATTCCAACACTGCCTGTGTGTCCCTAGATAGCTTAGCTAAACTCTGTCCCTCAGCTGCCTGGTGTGGGAAATAAGGATAAGCATGGTACCCACCTCACCGAGCCGGTGGGGGGGATGAAATCGGCTGGTGAACATAAAGTACTTAGAGTAAGGCCGAGCATACCATAAGCCAGCCACTGTTGTCATCACCATCATTCCCAGTAGCAGGGCTGCGTGGGGGTCGGGGAGTGACTGTGCCTCGGGGACCCCTTGCTAGAGTGAGTGGCAGAGCGGGGCCTTGTCTAACACACCACTTTCTAATGTTCCCAGGTCTGGCTTTCATTCAGCCCATACTGATGGAAAGCCTACTTTGCTAGGGACTAAGCACTAAACCAGGCAGGAGCTTGCGTTCCAGAAGGGAAGGCTTCCAGTCCACACTTAAAGGGTGTGTCATCCTGTCAGGTAGTGGTCTGTGCTCTGATGACAAAGGAGGAGCTGGGAGTGGCAGGCTGCTGCTTTAGGTGAGATGCTTGGGCCACCTGCCGGAGGAGGCCTTGTTCGCACAGAGCACCAAAGGATATGAAGGAGGAAGGAGCATGCAGGTCGTTTGAAGGGTAGCTGCCCCACTTGGAGAGGAGAGCAGGTGTGAAAGCCCTGGGGCAGAAGCAGGCTGCACACCCCCTTGCCCATAGACTGTCCTTGCTGACCTTAAGGTTCTAGAGAAATCCTAATAGAATTGAGTCCATCTTAAGTTCATGCTGCCTGGTGGTGCAGATGAGGGTCTCTTCTGAACTTGGGATTTGCAGGACCCTCGAGGGTTCCTTTCTATTCAAGAGGAAGTGGGATATAACTCAGCCCTTGCCTCCAAAGGCAGCCCCATTCTCAGAGCACAGAGGCCTGCCCCATTCCTCAATGACTCCTCTCAGCTAGAAGGTATAAATAGGCCTCCCTCTGAGTCCTGGCCTGCCTGCTCATGAGCAAAGTCAAACTGTGGGGCAGAGCCACTGTCTCCAGGACAGTGGACACCTAAGGGTGCCACTAGGGGACCCCACCCCGATCCTTCTTGAAAGTGTAACTTTAAACAGACCCTGTAATAATGCCCCTGCCACAGGCACTGACTGTAGATTTGCCACTCTTTCAGCCTAGATGTCTGGGCCCAACCAGTCACCTATTAAGCATACTCTTTTCTGCAAGGAGCACCTATTCCTTCCCCGGGAGCAGCTGGGCTGAGCTGCCTGTGTGAGTGCTGTCACCTCTGGTTTGTGCCGCCGGTTCCAGGGCTAGACCCAAGGACCTGAGGACACGAGGACTTTGGCTGGTGCAAACACAGTCAGTACCTCACGCTTGCCCCTGGTGTCTCAAGACTATTCACGGAGGAAGCCGCGAATGTTCTCCTGGAGTGCACCTAACTGTTTGCGTGGCCTTCGGTGGGTGGCCCCTCTCATTCACCATTCCTGTAAGAGTGTTGCTGTCACCCGGGCTCCTTCCCCTCCTGCCCTCCAGGTCACTGTGTTGTCAGACAACCAGTGGGCTGAAGATGCATTGTCTTCAGAGAGAGCGACTTTGAAATCAAGTAGAACTGCGGAGACTCGTGTGTGGTGGACAGCTGTGTTTTCCGACAGATCAGGGAGAAAAGGGGCCTCGGCGCCCAGGTGACTGGCTGGTAGTCAGCCTTACAGAGTGTGGAGCTGGAGTCCGAGCAGAGAAGACGTCCCCGCATCCGTGGCTTTGTTCGGGGCCAGAGCCTGGTGGCCATCCCCAGTGGCTCCCACCCTCTTGTGGCATCAGTACCATGGGAGGACTTGTCCCCACCAGATCACTGGCCCTCCTTAGCAGTTCCGATTTGATTGACCTGGGGGGAAATCTGATGGTTTACATTTATAAGATGCTCATGGGTGCTGCTGGGACCTAGTTTGAGAGTCGCTGATGGAGACGATTGAGAGGGAGTTACCTACCCTGGCCAGGGAATCTCCCACCTCCCTGGGCAAGATCTAAACCCCCAAGCTGCTAGTCCCAAGTCTCTCTTACATTCTAGAGGCTGCAGGACTCCAGAGGCCCAGGTGGAGTCCAAGGGCCCTGGCTTGTCCGGAGGTCAAAGGCCACGAGCCTCCTGGTTTGTGCAGAGCTGGCCAGGCCTCTCCCCGCACCTCCATGCAGGCAGAGTGAGGGTGTGAGCAGTGGCAGGGGGCAGTTGGGCCATAGGAAAATGATGATGTTGACATCGTTGGTACCTCACTGTGGCCTCCTGATCTGCTGTACAGGTGGAAGGTGGGGAGTGACCAGGTGGCGGGGCGCAGACTCTAGTTGGCCCCAGGCAGGTCCTGCTGGCTGAGAGGACTTTGTCCTTGAGCTTGAGCAAAGAAAGGAAGGACCCAAGCATGATAGTGTGAAGGTTTGATGGAAGAAATTATAATCTCCTCCAACCCCACCTCCTTCCAGGACTTCTTTTTCCCCCTCACGTATGGGGGAAAAAATTTTTTTTTCCGGAAGCATATGCTATTTTGCCCAGGATTGTATTCCCTTTTAGCTGTGTCATCACTTCATAATTAAACCAAGTTTTCACATGATGTTTGTTCCTAAACCTACAAAGTCTCACTTCCTAGATGTTAAAGAGTGATTTCCCCTCCAGTGCTGCAGCCTTGCTGCAGTGTTTACACGCAGGTCTCCCACAATTTCCCTCTTTGGTGGGGAGTGCCCTCTCCAGACACAAGAGACCCCAGGGTGGCTTGGGGGTCGGGGGAACCCCCTCAGAGCTAACTCAGGGGCCTGAGTGAGGCAGAGCCCCTCACTTTTATTTCCCAGCTCTCAGTGGACAGCTCAGCCCCACCCCCACTGGAAGGTCAGGAGGAGGGCTACTGGCAGGGATGTCATTGTTCAGAGGTGGGCCTTACTTTGCCGTTGTGTCCTTGCTGGGGGCAACTGAGGTGACTCCGACTCCAAGGGACCCAGTGCAGCAGGACTCGGTGCCTGTCGCCCTGACAGGAGGCCCCGAAGGGCTTCTCTCCCAGGGAACTGCTGCTGCCGTGCTCAAAGGTTAGGACCGCTACCAGTGAGCAGCCAGGCACTGCACCAGTGTGCCACTGGGCTCTTTGTACTTGCTGCCCAACATGTTAACATCTCTGAAAGTCAATATATATAAATTCAGTATTGTAGCATCTGGCTGTGTGTCCTACTAACATTTCCCCCAATTTTGAGTGTGTTGTATAGTATTGGTATCTCTTACAAATCATAGTGTTTTCAACCCAGTGAGATGGAGTAGTAAAAAATAAGCTCAAACATTGTTTTCCCCTGAGAGAAACGCTGACACACACTGAGACCAATAGAGGCAGTGTCAGCCAGCTGTGCCCTTCTCCAGCCTCACCCCGCCCCTACAGAATGGTGTTTGCTGAGAGAGGAGACCTGAAAACGTCCCTTGGACCACAGCTGCCTGCTGGCCCCCACCCTGCCCCTGCCCTGCGCCCCTTGTGTCCAGCACACTGAGCCGGACAAGGACTAACAGTGCACGCACAAAGAATGGGGGAGTTGTTGCCAACTATGCCAGCACCCAGCGTCCCGTTTTATTGTAGCACAGTGGTTGCTCCTTATTTGGCTGCTAGGTCAGCAGTTCAAAACTACCAGATACTCCACAGGAGAGAGAGAGAGAGAGAGAGAGAGAGAGAAGGCTTTCCACTCCTGTAAAGAGTTACAGTCTCGGAAGCCCATGGGCAGCGTTGCCCTGTCCTACGAATCATAGTTGACTACATGGCAGTGATTGATCGATTGACTGACTGATTGATTTCACATATGTTAAAGGGTGGGGAGATGTATCTTAAAGTCAATAAACATAAGGCCCTCTTAGTCAATTATAGAGCCTTAACTTCTATCATGCCTGGTTCCGGTGGTATAGTGGCTACGGGCTGGGCTGTGATCTGTGTGGTCGGCAGTTCTAAACCACCAGCAGCTCCTCAGAAGAACGATTGTGCTTTCTTCTCCCATAAACAGTTACAGTTTCTGAAACCTACACGGGTGGCTATGAGTCAGCATTGACTTGATGGCAGTGAGTTTGGCTTTTGGTTTTAGCCTCTGTCATGCGTGGGGAAATGTTAACAGGACGTTCCTCTAGACTATGTGGTGATTTCCCACCTGAGTGCCCTCGGGCCTGTCTTGTCCCCTCACTTTCTCCAGTCCAGATCCCAGGGATGTAGGAGCCTGGAATCTAGTCCTGGCTCAGTGCTGGCCAGCTCAATGCCCTCAGAGGGCTCGCCAGCCCTCCTGAGCCTCCTTTGCTTCATCAGTCAAATGGAACCAAACTCTGTCTTCCTCTAGTGTCCTTTGGGTTGTTTTGAACCTTAAATAAGACAGTGCATGCCTGCAGACCTTATAAACCAGCGCTCCAGCCTGCAGACCAAATCCAACCTGCTTTTGTGACAGAAGAACTCACTCTTTACCTCTTGTCTGTGACTGTTTTCCCACCACAAGGCAGAGTTGAGCAGTCAGAACAGAAATCATATGGCCTGCAAACCTAAAATATTTGCTTCTGGTCCTTTTCAGTCAAAATAAGCCAACTCTTGCTGTAGGTGACTGTGTGATTGTTGGTAAGGGAGTCCAAACCCCAACTTCTTAGGGAGTCTCTAGGAAGTGTATTCCGGGACTCCAGGCTTCCAGGATTAGGACCTTTGGAGCCAGAAATCTCTGTTTCTTCCAACTGCTTTGATAGAGAGTTTGGGCAGTTATGTCATCACCGCAGGTAACGCTGCTGAGAGCAATTGCTGAGAGGACAGTGTGAGATGGTGAGGAGGGGCGGCATCCCAGCAGGATGCAGCAGGATTCATGCTCTCTCAGCGGGCAGTGCTTGCTAACTTCTCTATACCCTGTGGCCCTGGGCAGAGACCGACCGGGTGTGGGGAGAGGGCCTCGAAGCCTCACCTGCCACAGGTTCACTGAGCTTGCCCTTCTTACAGCCATGTCAAAATCTGCCATGAAGATCTCCTCGGACCTACTCTCCAACCCCCTCTGTGAGCAAGATCAGGAGTTCTTGAACATGGTGACCGCCCTGGACACTGCCATGAAGCGGGTGGATGCTTTCAACCAGGAAAAGGTGGCTGGGCTGTTGGTCTCTGCTGACCAATAGCAATCCTTCCTCTCCTCTCCTGACTTCTCCGGGGCCCTGGTGCCAGAGTGGTTACCCACTGGGCGGCTAACCCCAAGGTCAGCAGTCCAAAACCACCAGTTGCTCTTTGGGAAAAAGAGGAGGCCTTCTCCTATAAAGAGTTACAGTCTTGGAAGCCCATGGGGGCAGTTCTACCCTGCCTTAGAGGGTGGCTGTGAGTCAGCGTCTACTCGATGGCAGTCAGTTTTCTCGCAACTTCTGCCTGGGGGGCTTCCTTGCGTGGAGGCTCTGTCTGCCCTCGGGCTTGTTTGGCCCTCTCCGAGGCCTTTGTGCTGCCAGCCCAAGTTGAATCCTTTCCTGGCTGGTGCTCCCATGACCCCCATGACCCGAACACCGCTCACAAGGAGAGCACGGCAGTGCTCACAGCAGCTCTGCTCACTCCAACCCACTCCCTCGAGTGGGTCTTCGCTGCCCATCCTGCCCTCCTTCCACCACTGCCTCTTGACACTGCAGAGTTGGGCTGCCCAGCTTCTGCCCATCCTGCTCACATCACCTTCCTGCCCAGGACGCTCGGGGGAGCCTCCCTCCCTGGTTCTGATTGGGCTCTTCTCTCAACAGGTAAACCAGATCCAAAAGACAGTGATCGAGCCCTTGAAAAAGTGAGTAAGAGTCTGGGTCCAGGGGTCTCAGTGAACTAGGCAGGGAAACCAGGAATGTGGAGGGAGGCGGATCCACTTGGCCCTTGGGCATTGGTTGCTCGCAGGCTGACTTCCGATTCTAAGGGGGATGGTGGGAAACAGTGGGGGCATTCCAGCTCCATGATCCATGGCCTAGGGCGGGTGCTGCTGGCAGCCCAGCATACCTGAGAGTGCCCGGGTGTGCTTAAGTATCAGCCTGGGAGCTTGCGATCCTCCCGCAGCGGTCAGTGTGCCCCTGATCCCTTTGTCCTGCCTGAGAAGCAGTGGAACCAGAGCTTGCTGAATTCAGCTAGCAGAGATCTTGGCCAGCCCTCAGCGGAGATGAGCTAGGCCTTTCATCTCACTCCGACGCCCGCCACCGGATTGGGAGAGCAGCTGCCTGCAGCACTCAGCTTTTGAAATGTGGGGGTGGCCGCACACAGGGAGGGTGCAGCAGCCTGGTCCTGCCTGGGATGGCCCCATCATTCATGGCCTGTCAGGGTCAGACCTCCTTCTGTCAGGCCAGGCTCTGGGCAGCGATCACACAGGCCTCTTCCTCGAGTCCCCTGAGGGGGGACAGCAGCAGCCTGGCCTTGAAGGTCCCAAATCACTTCATCTCCTTCCCTGGCCTCGCCCAAGCAGCTCTGACCTAGAAGGACTCCTGCCCCGTCTAGCAGCTGCACTTTATTACCTCTTCTGTGGTGGTCCCTGGCAGTGGCCTCACCAGGGCCCTGGGTAATGAGGCTCTGCTTCATTATCATTAGGCCTGGATCAGGGCCCAGAGGTAGATGAAGAGAGTCGTTTTTGATCCTCCAGCCCATGGTGTTTGGAGGTGGTTGAGCTCTTGAGTCTGTGTGCAGGTCCAAGGGGTGGGGTTAGGACAAAGCCCTCCTAACCTCTTAAAGCTGTTCTTTCTAAGCAAGGAGAGACTGGGGGCTACAGGCTGGCCAGGGCGTGCAAACCTGCAGAGGGAAAAGGGCAGGCTTTCTCTGTGCTCCCCTTTCCTTTTCTCTTCCCACCTCCCCAGAGTGGTGATTCACAGCCCCCTCCTCCTCGGCCTTGTTGGGCCCCTGCCTCCAGAATCTGATAGAGCCTGCTGTTGAGGAGGCCAGAGGGTGCAGGTGGATCAGGAAGGTTTGGGACTAGGTGAGTCTAGGTGGGACTAGGTGAGTCCCCCCGCCCCCCACCGAAAAGCTGCTTCATAGATGGTGAGAAGGAGGGACTCGGGTGGCCGGAGGACAGCATACAGGCCCCTGTGAGAGTCTTCTGATCGAAGGGGCTGTGGGACCCAGGGCCCGGACCCTCTTGGGCCCGCTGGACTGTTGGCAGAGCTCAGCAGGGGATACCAGCTCAGCAATCTGGGGCTGACTGCTGTCTTGATTTCACAACCAGCGAGGGGCCTTGAAATCTGATCCCTGGCTTCTGGAGCTAGAGCCACATGCAGAAGTCCCTTGCTTCCCACCACCGAGGCAGCCCACCACCTGCCAGGAAGGTGGGTGCGCAGCCTAGGGAGTGGGCCGTCTCCCCGAGCAGATCCGCTGACCTCTGCATGAGCCCTTCAAACAGGCCTGCCTGTCTCGGACCTGCCATCTCCCCCAACCACAGAGGGATCTGAACTGCCTGCTGCCTCCTCCCCACCTCCCTGCTCTTGCCAGGAGAGAGGCTCCCAGGGACCCCAGCACCGGAAACCGGAAACTGCAGCTTTCCTGTCCTCTGATGAAGATCATCGCCACATGGCCACTCAGCCACCCCCAAGCCTCTCCCCCAGGGGGCTCGGCCTCTAATCCCCCTGTCTCTGGGCCTGGGCTCACATGGTCGGATGGGGATGCTTTCAATTTCCCTTTCCTGGTGGGTGGAAGATCCCGGCTGTGTGGGCACAGATTGAGGAATGGCAGGCATTCCCCACCAGGCCGGCTGCTCCCAGCCCACCTCCCAGCCGGCCGCTCTTCCCACCACCCCCAACCCCCCCTCCCCGCCTTTCCCTCTTCCCCCCACGCTTTACCCTGGGGAGGCAGCTTGATCTCGAACTTTAGGACAGGCAAGAAATGGGCAGTGGTGATTGGCAGATCCTCAGCCAATGGGGCTGGTGTGGGCCTCATCCCTTGTCCCTTTGAGGAATCCAAGATGCATGTAGTGTGACTTCAGGAGCTGATGGCTGAGGGGGGAAGCCAGCCAGGCTCCTATGTGTAGTGTCCACCCCCCCACCCCACCAAAGCCCAGGGCTGGACCCTGCCCCGACCCCTATAACTTGCCTGTGACCTCAGCAAGACCACGCCGTTCCTCCAGGTCGGCTTTCTCGTCTTCAGGGATGGAGCTCTCCAGATACTACAGTGGACACTTTGGAGCAGGGGCACGGGGGCTGAGGGCCTGACCAGGGGCTAAGCCTCCACTGGGAGGGGACACTGAGCACAGAGGGCCTGCCTCAGCCTGTGTCTCTGTGGCAGACAAATAGAAGTGGTCAGACTAGACAGAAGTCAGCAGGTACCTCGGGAGAGGCCCTGGCACCGGGTGCCAGCCTCTGCTCATCTTCACCCTCCCTGCTGGCAACCAAACCCCTGATCTGAGGGTGGTGGAGGATTCGTCAAGTCTGAGCCGGGGGAGCAAAGTGTTTCCTGCTGTCAGACGGGCTCCTTGCACAGCATCATGGTTATTTCCACTGCTTGCTGCCCCATGGAGCTGGAAAGGCTGCCTGGGAGCTTATGAGCAGACAGTGGGGACTGGAAGCCAGGGATCACAGAGCCCTGGTCCCCCCAATCTCATCAGCCAAGCCCCTCACAGCCCTGCCCTGGTGCACCTCCCTCGACTGTGAGAGCACCAGGAAGGCACTGCTTCCTGGTGGGGGCAGGTACACAAAGCGGCCCGCCCGGGAGCATTGCTCGGTACCGCACCTCCCATGAGCCAGCCTAGCCAGGTGAGCCTGCTCCAGGCATCGTGGACTGAGGCATGCTCTTGTGGGAGGCGGACATGCGCACAGTGAAGAAGCTGCTCTTTCAGAGGGTCGGAGCGCCCACCACACCAAGTCTTGGCAGCAGACGCTGAAGAGTGGGGAGCCCTGACATGTCAGACACTCTCGCCCAGTCCATCACCCGAGGCCACTCAGACCATGTGGAAATCTGTAACCCTTCCCCCGCTGAACCCGCCCCTGGACAGAAACACCAGTTAACTAGTTAGGGAAAGGGGTTATTAGGATCAGCTAAGGTGCACGTACGTGCTCCTGGGGTCAGAGGACATCATCTCCAGGCTGCTTGACCTCAGGCCTGATGGTAATTCCACTTACACCTCAGAGCAGGCATCCTCAAACGACAGCCCGCCGAGGACATTTATCTGGCCTGCCGGGTGTTTTTGCCCCGTTTGTTTTTTTACTTCAAAATAAGATATGTGCAGTGTGCATAGGAATTTGTTCATAGTTTTTAAAAAAACTATAGTCTGGCCCGCCAATGGATTTGACGGACAGTGAACTGGCCCCCTGTTTAAAAAGTTTGAGGACCCCTGCCTTAGAGCATCTCACAGGCAGCATTTTATCTCATGAGGCTCTCTTTCCTGAGGAGGGAAGTTCGAGGTGGTGAGGTTGCACGTGGCAAGGGAGAGAAGACTTTTCCTGCTACTTCCTGCCAGTTGTCATTCTTGTCCCAGCTCTGCCTGCATGCACCTGGCGCCTCCCAGTAACCAGCACAGTAGAAAGGAGTAGCGGGAGCCCAGGTACTGGGGCTACCCAAGCAGCAGGCTGCTTCTAGCAAGAGCCGGATGGGTGCTGGTAGCCCTCATCCTTGGAGAGGAAGGGGAGACAGCTGTGGTAGCTTCTCAGGCCCAGCTGCACCTGCTCCCTTGCACCACATGCCTGCTCAGCTGCCAGTCACACCCCACCCAGGAAGGGGGAGGAGCTCCCCTAGCAACTGCGACTCCATCACAGCAACTGCCTAAGGCAAAAAGCAGGGAGGCCAGCTCTTCCAGTGGCATCACTCCCTCCGACTCAGTCCAGGTGACCTTTTGTCCTTGAGTGTCTGCTTCCCACATCCAGTTTGTACGGCACTGACTGGCCTGCATCTTCCAGCTGGGCAAATCTGTCAATTATTGGCCCAGTTGCTCTGTGTAGGTAGGACCTGTGACTTAAGACTTTGGAGACGTTTGGGTGGTCTCACCCACTTCTCTTTCGGGGATTTCCAGTGAAGCACTGGGCTCAGTGCGGATGCTCACAGAGTGAGAGGAACTGATCTAGTGCCTTTCTCAGGGAGGGGCCCTGGGTTATGTCAAAAACCACTCCAAGTAGATATAACTTAGTTTTAAATGTAGTTTAATGCTTGGGTCAAGTTTATATTCTCTCTCGGCGGGTGGGGGGGCAAGGAATATCCATTACACGTACCTTTGATTTGTGGAGGCTTTAAAAAACCAAATCCACAATCATGTTCCTTTGAAAGACAAATATGGGCAGACATTTCTGTGGTGGAATTGGAACTCCCTGATGATGACCCATGAGCTGATGGACCAGATGTGGGTTACAAGCCACGGTCAGCAACCCGTTTATGCCCCAGTGAGGAGAACCCAGGCCTCAACAGCTCCCCCTGCCCCTTGCCATGCATCTTAGCAGGGTTGCTCAGAAACCATCCAGGAGGAACTGAGTCTTCCCCTGGTCTTTGGGGTGACCCCTGAGGCCACAGTTCCCTCGGTTGAAAATGACCAGATCTAGGGTCGTGGTCTCCAACTGGCACCCAGCTTGCACATGAGTCCCATCCTGAAGGCTGCTGAACCTTGGGCCGAGGCCCTCCGCTGCTCTGAGCGCTCCTTGCACCTCCAGCCTCTCTCCGGGGAGCTGCCCGTCTTCTCAGAGCCACTTCTACACCACAAAGCCTGCCTGCACGTTTTCTGCCTTTTCACCAGGGCTCTGGGCACCCAAACTGCCCTGCCAGGTGCCCATCTCAAGATACCACTGCCCTGCAGGGTTAAAGATGACGCAGGTCACACGGAGTGTGCCCAGGGAGGCCAAAAAGGTTGAAACATCTGTTGTTCCCAGAAGAGTTCCCCTTTGTGGTCTTTTAGTTGCTGTAGGGTGCGAGAAAGCTCATGACTTGTGTCCTGAGAAATGGGGTTTGATGGGGTGGCTGTCCTGATATCTGGGTGAAGGAATGGTGAGCTGCCAACCTGTCCCCCCCAGGGTCTGGGCCTAGACCCAATCAGCCTGTGTCTGGCAGGTTCGGCAGTGTCTTCCCGAGCCTCAACATGGCAGTGAAACGGCGGGAACAGGCCTTGCAGGACTACCGGAGGCTGCAGGCCAAGGTGGAGAAGTATGAGGAGAAGGAGAAGACCGGGCCAGTGCTGGCCAAGCTCCACCAGGTACCCGGGGCATGGGGGGAGGGGGAAGGTGGGTAAGGGACAAGGCGTCATGGGAACCAGTTCCCTGGAATCCCTAGGACAAAGGCCCTGGATACCCTGATCCCCACCCTCCTCCTCCCTCACACACACACTGAGTGCCCAGTGGGGACCCTGAAGGCGCATCCAGACTTTCCCTCCCAGGCCCGGGAAGAGCTTCGGCCTGTACGGGATGACTTTGAGGCCAAAAACAGGCAGCTCCTGGATGAGATGCCAAGGTTCTACAGCAGCCGCCTCAGCTACTTCCAGCCCAGCTTTGAGTCCCTGATCCGAGCCCAGGTGAGACCGCGAGCCACCTTGCACTGTGCCCCTTGGGAGGTAGCGTTGTTGACCAGCTTATGCCAACCCCCTACACCACACACCCAAGGGCAGCTGTCTGGAAAAATGGTTCTTCCACTGTGCTGTACTCTGGATGCCCCTCAGCGAGGGGATTCATTTCCGTACTGGCCTTCTCGGGGGTCGCCTGGAGACTTGGAGGCTTGGCTTGTTTTTGTTGGGCTTTCTGATGGGGTCCCTCATTGCTCTGTGGTTCTTTTCTTATGGAAGAGTTCTTCCTTCTCTTGCTCAGCTACAGGAAGCAGCAGGAAGGATTTGGGCAGCACGCCAGCAGTTCCTGGTCTGTGCTCAGGGGAAGATCAATCGGGGACCTAGAGGCCTGTAGGCTGAAGGTAGCTGAGCACCCCCCATACACACACCCCTCCTTCATTTGACAAGAGAGCATGAAGTGTCTTGACTGCTGGCTCCTGACCCTGAGGAGAGGCAGCTCAGAGCCCTGGGCCATGGTGTGTCCCTCATGGGGTTGCAGACAGAGCAGTCAGCCTGCCTCTTCTCACAGCTCAGGCCCTGGGGCTCCAGGACCAGAGGGGTTGTAACGGTCTGTACCTCTGACTCCTCGCCTCCATTCTTTAAGCCTTTAGTGCGGGATGACTCCCCATTTTGAAAAGAGGAAAAGCAAGGGTGCCAAAGCCAAGAGATCTTTCCAGGTGCATGCGCCCAGCTTCAGCCTAGGCCCCAGCCATCTTCCCCCACCCATGCCGGTGGACCGGCCACCAGCTAATAACACTAGCACCTCATCACCTTTTCTGTTCTTGGGTTGGGTGTCTGGCGCCCCCCAGTGGACATGATCATTTCTTGAGATTCCAACCTGCCATCTTTGGAGATGGGTTTCAGGAGCCCTGAACCTGCAGCGGCCCCTGTCCTGGATACTGTGTGCATCTAGGAAATGACGTGTGTGGGGTCCTGGGAGTTGCTCCCTGACCACAGAGGAATGGTTAAACGAGGGAGATCGATGCGGTCCCTGCCTCCCACCTCACCCCCCTCCTCCTCCATCAGTATTGCTCACGGGAAGCACCAGAGGGCCCGAGCTTAGGCATGCCCAGGTTGGAGCAGTGGGGTAACAGGGATGCCCTGTAACCAAGCAGCGTGGGAGCTGAGGGCTGTTGACTGCCTCCTCAGCACCAGCCTCCTCCCCACCAGCTGCACTGCCATTAGTCACTGGAGAAGTGAGCATTCCCAGCAATCAGTGACTCACCAGTGCAGTGCGGCTCAAGGCGGGTGGCTGGGCGCTAGGCAAGGCCTGCCCCAGAGCCCCGTGCTATAGTAGGCTGTGGGAGTCTAGAGGCCCGGTAGGTCCATCGACCCTGCTGCCTGGGAGAGCCTCCCACCCCCCAAGTGGCTCCTCCTCCCTAAGACAGATTGCAACCTGAGGGGTCAAATCAGGATCATTTCAGCAGTGAAGCACATGCTATCGCTTGGTCCTGAGGAAAAGACAGGCAAGACTGCCATCTGCAAGGTTGTTGGTGGCCAACTGCCCAGCCCTTTGCACGCCCCAGCCGCCTTCCCTCTGCCAAACCTCCACACAAGGCAACCTGTGTGAACAAACAGAAAGAAGGCTGCAAAGCGCTCTCAGCATCACAGCTGTGGGAACACAAGCTGACTGCTTCCTCTGGGCAAAGGCCTCGGCCTCTCTCCAAGCCCGCTCCTCGGCTTCCTCAGCACCAGCATGAGTTGCTCCCTCTCCTCAGTCCTGGTGCTGGGTTGCACCATCTTTCCTCCACCGTCTACTGGTGCCCACATGCCTGGCTCTGGCTGCTTGGCCAGAAGCAGGAGCGGTCTGAGGATGGAGCGTCCTTGGGCAGGCCACGTCCCCTGTACACTTAGGACCCAGCCTGGCCCTGGAGTGGGCCAGTGCTGAGGGCTTAGTGCCGGGGCTTCACTCCTTCTTTGCCACCATGGAAAGTGGGGTGAGGGAAGATAGAGGGGACCTGGAGCCAGGCCTGTCAGGGCCAACAGCGAAGGGAAGGAACTCGCGGCTCTGTGCCTGTGGACATGAGCCTGCTTTCCCACCTCGCTGCTGAGCTGGTGGGGGTGGGGGCCGAGGTGCTTTGGGGGCTGGTATCTCCAGAAGCTAGCACCTGCCACCCTCCCTTGCCCCCTCCCCCCTACCCAGGTTGTGTACTACTCAGAAATGCACAAGATCTTCGGAGACCTGACCCAGCAGCTTGACCAGCCAGGCCACAGCGATGAGCAACGGGAACAGGAGAACGAGGCCAGACTGAGCGAACTCAGAGCCCTCTCCATTGTGGCTGATGACTGACTGCCAGGCTCCCTCCAAGGACCTTTGTAACTTCAGACTCTTCCCACATCAGCCTAGCCGAGGCCCCCTCCAGGGAAAAGGGTGGCAAGCAGCAAGCTGGGGATAGCTCTATCCCTGCCCAACCTCACCCACCCTTGGAAATGAGCGTGTCTTCCTTTGAGTCTGCCACCAGCCCCTGGGAGCCTCCGCACTGTGGCCTCCCCACTGATTGATAGGGAGCAGCCACAGACACAAGGCAGGCAGGGCAGAACACCCCAGGGGCTTTTTTATTCCCATAAGAACCGTCCAAAGTACAACCTCCAGGCCTGGGGGCATAGCCACCACCTTCAGACCTTCAGCTGAGGGTCTCAGCCCTGGGTGTGCAGCTACATCACATCTGCCTCCAAAGCACCCCTCCTGGAGAGCCACTGACACCACCACCTTCTTGCCTTTTTAAAGACTCATTCAGGAGGCCCATGACACTGCCCTGGGGAACAGATCATCTGTGGGTCCCCCAAGCCAAGGCAGAGGGAGGCCGCCTCCCCAAAGCCTGCCACCCCTCCCCCCCAAGCCATCTCTATCCCTTGGGTGTGGTGTAGAGAAGGGCCCTAGATAACTAAGATTCAATTCCGTAACTGTCAGAGACCACACTAAATGTCACCGATAAATCGCAGACCTCAAAACACAAACAAAAAAAGAGTGGGTTTGTCTCTCACCGAAATTTGCAATTTTATTTTTTTTTCAAATAAAGTTTCCAATAAAATGTCCATATGTTGTTAAAATTGAGGAAGGAAAAAAACAATTATTTTTTTCCTGGATGCTGCTGCCACCTGCTGAGCTATCAGGGCATCTATAACTCTGTTCCACCCACAACCCTGGCCTGGCCCAAAGGTGGCTCTCATTGCCTGCCCGCCCCACCCTGCCCGCTGCTGCTGCTTGGCAGCATGACGGAGGGAGGACAGGCAAACCCAGAGGAGGAAAGGGGGAAGAGCTATGGAGGACACTTGATTTGTTTTTGACTTTGGTTTATTTAAAAAACAAAAAGCCAAAAAAAAAAAAACCTTTATATATAAAGTCAAACTGAAACCACGGATTATGGAAAGAGGTGAGAATTACGGGTAACAGGGAGAAAGGCCAGGCCAGAGCCAATACCACATTCTGAACACGGGGAGAACCAGGGGCTAGGGGGAGGTGCCGGTTCCTTCCGGCAAGTCTGGGACGGCTGGGACACAGCGCCCTGCAGGCAGCAGAGCCCAGCACTGAGCCCTTAGCACAGCCAATCCAGAGGTGACCTCACCAGGCCTCCTCCCCAAGAACCTGCTCCTGCCGCCTAGCAGGGTCTGTCCATCCAGGTTACAGGGCTCTTCTTAACCCCAAGCCACATTCCCTGTTTCCTCAGTCTGTGGACATACTGGAAAAGCCTTTTCCGCCCCCACTGATTCTAAACAGGAAGAGGGCACAAGAAAGTCAGCATGAGACTCAAAGGTCCCAGGAGAAAGGCCAGGGGAGAGGGCGAAATGACATTCTAGGGTGTGAAAAGTGGTGGATTTAGTAGTAACTGGAACCGGGTGGGGTTCCTCACTGCTCGGTCCCACCCTGACGGCTTGGCCCCCTTAAAGAGGCTGAGCCCATGGGCCAACCTCCCTGCCTATGGCTCCTCTGTCCTGTCCAGCGGCTCTCTGCTACCAAAAGGGCTCTAACTCTCAGACTCCATCGCTGACCTCACAGGATGGCAGCTCCTGTGCGTGGCCCCTCAGTTGGTAGGTGCTGGCTCCTCTTTCTCTACCCAGCTGTCGGCCTGTAAGAGATGTAAAGAGAGAATGTTGACTCCCATGAAGGAACTCAGGCAACTCTAATCCCCTAAGAAGTCAGGCAATGGAGGGGGAGAGGATGCATGGTGCACACTGGCTGTAACTGCGGTGAGGAGGGGACTTCTGGAGCCCCGCCTCCGCAGCTCACCTTCTCCACCATCCGCTGCATCTCCAGCTGCAGAGGGGTCAGGCGCCGTCGGAAGTTCTGTAACAGCCGCTGGAATTGGTTCTTCTGTCGCTCAGCGGTCCGGGCTGTCTCCTCAGCCTCAGCCAGCCGTGTCCGCAAGTCCTGCATCTCCGCTGCCAGTGCCTTATTCGTCACTTCAGTGGCTGAGAACCGGGTATGGCTCTCCTCTAGGTGGGAGCGGAGGCAAACCAAAAAGCCTGGTACTCAGACCTGGGCTGGAGTCTACGGAGTGGGTGCTGTCTCCCATGAGTCTCCTCCCCCATGCCGAGTTGAGTCCTCAGGGCCCAGGCCACTCACCCAGCTTCAGCTCCAGGGTGTGAATCTTATTCTCCAGGTAGAGCCGCCCACTGTCCTGCTGCTCCGCTCGCTGCAGCAGGCTGCCCACGTTGATCAGGCTGCCATTGTGGGACACCAGGCCTTCGTGTTCTGCAGGGGCAGCACCTGGCTGTGGGCTTTTCCCGGGAGCAGGGAACAGATCCAGGTTCCCTAGAAGAAGCCAGGGCACAGATGAAGGAAGGGGATTCCAGAGGAAAGAACAGCCTGCCCCGCCCCGCCATCCCCCAGTGAAGGCCTCCCCCAGCGAAGGCCGCCAGGGAGCAGTACACACCAAAGAGCACCTCCTCGGGAAGTCCACCTTCCAAGCTCTCCTGGCGGCTGTACTGCAGGCTCCGGTACTGGCAGATGTTCTGGGTCACCACCCTGCTGACCAGCTGCTTAGCCTATAGCAAACATACACCCAAGATAGCCTATGGCCTGCGAGACGCTGGAACTAAAGTCTCCCTGGTTCATCCAGAGGCGCAAGGTGTCTATGCTCGATGGGGCCACTTCAGAGAGGAGGGACGTACCTGCTCTGCACTGAGCCGCAGCCCCAGGGTCAGGAGGATCCGCTCCAGGTCTCTCCGGTGCAAGTAGCCACACCAGTTGGCATCAAAGAACACAAAAGCAAGCAGACAGTCTAAGGGGAGCACAGCAGAGGGGTCCAGCTCCTTGGGCTGCCAAGGGAAACAAAGGTGTACAGGCCACTTACAGACTGTCCTCACAGGCTGCTGCCCAGGACGCAGGCTCCTCCGCTGAGCTGCTTAACTAACTTCACCACGCCTAAGCAGAAACCCCAGAGCTGTCACCATTGAGAGTGTGGTGTACCTAGGACAGGTACATCCTGACAGAGATACTGAAATGGTCTGAGCCCTATGAGGTGCTAATCCATAAGTCCAGAACTACATGTGCTGCCTCCACTATGCCAGAGGTCCCCCAGTGTACTCGCCCGGGTGGGGAGGGTGGGGGGCGGACGGGCATGGGCACCCATCAGAGGCCTTGCTAAGTTTCACTGTCAGGGAGGCCTGGGGAGGTAGAAAAGCTGTCTCACCATGTCCTGGAGCGCAGAGAATTCCATCTCCGACTGGTTTGAGGCAACAGACCGTACCTCCGAATCCTCCAGCTTTGTTCCTGCTGAGAAAAGCCCAAGATGAACATGGCCCCAGAGGCCACCTGTCCCAAAGTCCATCAACAGTGACAACAGGA